AACGCGCGCTGAAAGGCTGGGGCCTGAAGGCCGCTTCTCGACAGCGCGCCAGAGCGATCGCTCGGAGGCGGGCTCGCTCGGCGGAGTTTGCACTGCAATTCGGCATCGTCACCAAACTTCTCCTTCTAGAAAGCTCGCGAGGGAGGACTGCGCGTCTGCCGGCGCCAGAGTCGTAGCCTCTCGCGCTGCGGAGTTCTCGAGTTTCATCATTGGGTGCCCCTCTCTTGGCACTTGAAGGTGGTGACAGACACAGTCATCAGCTTATACCTAGAAGGCTCCAACAATTTTGATGGCGCGAACACGCGCAAGCTGTCGTCCCTGGCGGCCTTCGCCAGGACGCTGCGCAACCCTTGGATAGTCGCAGGAGATTTAAACGCTTCGCCCGGGGCCTTCCGTAAGTCGAGCTGGGGCCAGCGGCTCGGCTGTCAGATTGCCACAGTGGAAGACGGGTTCACATGCGTCAAGAGAGATTGTGAGCCGCCCTTGATAGACTACACGTTGCTGGGTCACGGGGCCCAATAATTGTTCGCGGGCCCCCAAGCAGCGCCAGCCCCATGGAAGCCCCACGCCGGTCAGATCCTCGCGCTCCGAGCGGAGACAGCGCCAGCAATCACGAAGATCTTGGGCATGCCTGCCCCCCTCAAGCATCCGAGGAGGCCACCGAAGCCGCCCGTCCCTGGTAGCCGCCGCCAGGGAAACCAAAAGCGCCCCTCCTCTCGCCCGGCTGCTGCTGCCGCCCCCTCTCCCCTGACCGAAGAGCTGGAGCGATCTAGAAAGGAGCGCGAGCAGGTCATTTTGAACCGACGATGGGAGGCCCCGGGCACTCAAGGCTGGACACATTTTCCTACGCTCAGCGGGTTGGATGGCCTCGAGGCGGACCCTCTGGAGGACGGGGGGAACTTTGAGGAGCACGCCTTCCCTGAGCCACCGCAGGAGCCCGACGGGGCCACGCCACCTGAGGAGGCGGCGGCGGATCTTCCCAGCTCAGGGGGGCCTTCCGACCTCCCTCCGAGCCCCCTCCCCCTCCCACCGAGCCCGCCGAGCCACCCACCGAGCAGAGGGGCGATATCTGGCGAGACGTGTCGGAGGCCCCGACATCCTTTCTGCCCGAGGGAGTGCCTGAGTGCGCGAAGCGTAATGCGTCGTTCCTCACGGCCCCTTTCCCCCTCTTAAGTTATAGGAGCTCTTTACGGCCAGCTGGCCCACAGGGTAGAGCAGCTCTATCTTCGCGCCTGTCGCCTCGAAGGGAAGGAGGCAGCTCGTTTTTTGTGGCCGCGCAGCCCCTTGCCTAGACATGCCAGCTACTCAGCAGGATGGCGGGGTCGAGCAGCCAACGCGCTGAGACCGCCCCCCCGAGGGGGCAGGCGTGAGTAGGGCAGCCGTCACCAGCAATCGAAAGATGCGAGTCGCGTACCAATGTCGGGATGCTGTCACGCCAGTCGGCGTGGGCAAGTAGAGGTCGGATCGCCTAACGAGAGGCGCGAAAAGACGGCAGGGACGAGAGCACACCACAAGGAATGGGGGGCGAAAGGATGACATTCAGGCAACCCCTCCCCCTCGCAGTTGAAAAATCAGCACCTGGGTGACCCTAGACTCCAAGTCCCTCGTGTGAATTAGCCAATCTCCTGAGCCTCACGCAGCCTACCTCCGGGGTCCCTGGGGACATGACGGAAGAGACGCACACCTGCTGCGTGAGGGGAAGGATGGGGGGGAGGCTCCAGCCCGAGACGTGTCCAGCGACCGAGGGGAGAGGGCGCAACCACACGACAGGGACCCTGCAGGTCCAGGCAGCTCGACCGAGCGCCGCCACGGCCAGAGGAAATTCGCACTGTCACCCTGCACGCCATCCCATCGCCTCCCAAGGTGCGGAGCCCCCAAGGCGCCGCGGAGGACCTGCAGGATGCCGTGGAACCAGAAAGACCGTGGGGCCACAACGAAGGGAGCGAGGGGGCACAAATGAGAGCGGCAAACTTGCCATGTTGGACCGCGTTCTGCCAAAACCCAACCTGCTGCGACCAATTGCGTTGGTTCGCCTGCACCCGCGCGACAGGGTGCTATCTCAGCGCCGAGACTTCTCCAGCCCTGCAAGAGGCCACAAACGCAATCCGAGTCTCTGACAAGGCGCATCAGAACTCTCTGCTGGCAGCATGGCAGGGGGTGGCGGGCAAAAAAGGGGGGGGCCCAAGGAGGCATGGGGTCAACCACCGCAGGGGAAGGCACAAAAGGTGGGGAGGAGGTCCCGCCCTCCTCCACCTCTTCATCCTCCTCCTCCTCCTCCTCCTCCTCCTCCTCCTCCTCCTCCTCCTCGCCTCCTTCTCCTCCGCCTCCTTCTCTCCGCCTCCTCCTCCTCTCTCCTCCTCCTCCGCCTCCTTCTCCTCCACCTCCCCCGCCCCCCGCCGCCGCCTCTCCTCCCCTCCTCCTCCTCCTCCCCTCCTCCTCTCCTCCTCCCCTCTTCCTCCTCCTCCTCCTCCTCTTCCACCTCCTCCTCCTCCTCCTCCTCCTCCCTCCTCCTCCTCCCTCCTCCTCCTCCTCCTCCCTCCTCATCCTCCTCCGCCTCCTCCTCCTCCTCCTCCTTCTCCTCCCTCCTCCTCCTCCTCCTCCTCCTCCCCCTCCTCCTCCTCCTCCTCCTCCCCTCCTCTCCTCCTCCTCTCCTCCTCCTCCTCCCTCCTCCTCCTGCCCGGGTGCCCGGGTGCCCGGGTGCCCGGGTGCCCAGGCACCCGGGCGTGCCGCCGAAATCCGCGCCATACCTCACCTAACCATATGAATCCGCTAGGACCCCTACAGAGGCAAGCTCTGATTGGGAGCATAGTCAAAAAATAATTGGAAGATCGTCCCCAGGCTATGTTTTTCCTATGTTTGAATGCTTTTCCTGTAGAGGGACAGGCCCGACTCAAACCTCAACGCTGCTACTCGTGTTGTGATAAGTTTGCTCTGTGTTGCTCTGCCTGCTTTCCTGCACCTCCCCCCCGAAACGAAAATCAAGACACGGCCGAGGTCCAGCAGAGCAGCGTTTGGGCCCAGCCCTGCTGTGGACCGCGGCGCCGGCACCCGCAAGAGGCCTCCCAAGGAGGCGTCCGAGTGCAGTCAGGCTGCTGCCAGAAGGAGCAAGGGCTCCCAACTTCGCGCTTCGCGCTGCGCGAAGCGCGAAGCGTGAATAACTTCGCGCTCTCGCGCCGCCCGCCCAAAGGGAGAGCAGGAGGACGAGGAGGAGGGGGAGAAGGAACGAGGACCGCGAAGCGCGAAGCGCGAATAACTTCGCGCCCTCGTGGAAGCCCTTGAAGGAACGCTGGGTAATCAGCGGCCAGCGAGGAGGAGGAAGTGAGAAGGAGAAAGCCCTCTCTCAGAAGGGTTCGGAAGTCCCCCCGGCCTCCTGCGAAGTTTTCTCTGAGCCTTCCCCGGAGGCACAGAGGAATTCTCGAAGGCGCGGGGGCGTCGGAGAAGATCCGCCGCATTTTGAGAAAGACTTCTCCTCCTCACTTCCCCCCTCTCTCGCCGCCGAGATGAGGAACGGAGCCCCTTGGTGGCCAGCACGAGGAGTCCGGGAGTGCCTGGAGATCAAACACTGATTGATCCAGGGAACTGCGGGCCGCTTCCGAAGCTGATACGTGACTTATTTCAACGCCTTGGCTGGTAGATTAGGGGAACAAAAAGTAGCATAAACATAAAAACTCGGAGGTCCGCGCGGATTTCTCGGATCGGCGCTGGACCCCCCTCCCTGGCGCGCGGAGCGCGCCAGGGGCGGCGCCAGAGGCGCCGCCGGGGGACCTCAGCGCCGATCCGAGAAATCCGCGCGGACCTCCGAGTTTTTATGTTTATGCCACTCTTTGTTCCCCTATAGTTGGGGTCGGAGGATTACGCCGCATCGCCGATGCATCGGCGACGTCGGCGGTGCATCGGCGCCGTCGGCGTGGAGAAGATCGGGCTCCACTTCGAGCCGCATCGCCGATGCATCAGCGATGCGGCGTGACCATCCAACCCGATCTGCTCGGACCCTACCTGGGATGAAGGGCAATGGTAGGGGGGGACCGACATAGGGGGGGGAAGGGGGAACATCGACCTCGAATCGGTACAATTCCGATAGATCGGAGATAGGCCCCCGATAGTGAATCCGCACGTTCCTGGGCAGGTTGGTGCTGTCGGGCCCCTATCGGCGATCAATGGGCGATTGGGGGTCCATGCATCCCCCCCCTATTAGAAGAAGAGAAAACGCCATCAACATAATTTGTTGGCGCTCCGCGCGGATTTCTTGGATCTGTGCTGGACTCCCCTCCCTGGCGCGCGGAGCGCGCCAGGGGCGGCGCCGGAGGCGCCGCCAGGAGGGCCCCAGCGCGGATCCCAGAAATCCGTGCCGAGCGCCTAAAGTTTATGTTTATGGCGTTTCTCCATCACCGCTCTCTGACAGCCCCGATGATTAGCAACAAAGGACCCCTAACCCTTTGGGAGGGGACCTAAGTTAGGAGGGACAGGAGCATCAGGGATAGGGGGTCTGCTCTGCGGAATTCTCAGACCAAACCGCCCAGAACTAGTCATGATGGCCCTAACGCAACGACGGGGGCCTCAGTGAGGCCACGCCTTCACTCTCATATCCTGGTCAGGGGCTCCTTTCTCCTCGATGACCCTGGGCCCGGGGAGGGCCCAGTGATAGGAGCAAGGAAAGGCGACACCAACACCAACAGGGCGAGGAGATGCGAGGCGGCAAGGGGGGTCTCCCTGGTGTCGTGGTCCAACCCTCTCGCTCGAGACGTACCCAGCCTCCAGCTCGGGGAGGCATCGTGGACCTCTTCGCTGGAGGTGGTCCCCTGAATGGTGTTGGCATCGCCTCTCCTCCTTCCGAGGTGAGGCCGCAGAAGCGGCGCAGAGCCTCGGGACCCTCCCCCCCCCCCCTCGCGGCGACGGCCGCAGGGCGCGCGGGCCGACCTCCGCCGCGGCACCGCGCGCGCCGGAGGCCCGCCGCGCCCGCCGACGCGCCCGCTCGGCCGGCTCGGCCTGCGCAGCCCGCGTCAGCGCCCGCCGCGGCGGGCGCCGGGGCCGGCCGCGCGCCCGAGCTCCTCGAGGAGGCGCTGCGTGCAGCCCGGGCACGCGTCGTGGTCGCAGATCTGGCAGCCCAGGCACGCGGCGCCCTCCGCGATGGGCTCCCCGCAGAGGCTGCAGAGGAAGCCGTCGTCCCAGGCGACGAAGCGCGTCGCACCGTGCCTCCCCGGGCAGTCCAGCGCCTCGGGCACGGCACCCCGCGAGCTGTCCGCGCGCGCGGTCGCCGCGTCGTCCCGGAGCCCCTCGAGCTCGGCGGTGTCCTTCTGGAACACCTTCTACGCCACGAGAGCATAGACACACACCCTCCGACGAATTTTGCGTGTACCTCCATGTGATAAAAATCGCTGGCTCCCAGTGGTGGTTTAAACGCCACCCTCCCCTGAGGCCAAGGCACAATCCAGTGGAGGGTGTGTGTGTGTATTTGTGCTATTGCGGACCTTCTGAGCATCAGTAAACCCTGTGCCCGTAATAATGACACCCAGGGGATAATTAAGTTCGGGGTCCTGGGGGGATGATAAACGATTTGTCCTGGCAAGTCCTGCGTGGGATGCATGACGAGGAAAGAGCAAGTCGTCGTGGTCGTCGCACGAAGACGACGACGACGACGACGACGACGACGAAGACGATGACGACGACGACGACGACGACGACGACGACGACGACGACGACGACGACGACGACCTAGCCCTGCCACCCATATCACCACATATCACAAGAAGGGGAGGGGAAAGGAGAGAGAAGGGTTAGGTCGGGCGTGTCCTCCTACAGGCGGCTTTTGGATCAAAAATAAAAGACAGTCAACAAACACTCAAAAATGCTCTTAAAAAATCGAACAATCGTCTGCTGATTTGTTTTTGGACTATTTTGGAAGATTCCTCCTGTAGAGGGGCACGCCCAACTTACGACAAGGGTGAAGGGGGGGGATTATTTTTTTAATCCGCGGCATGCGGTCAACCGATCCGCGTCCCCGCTGGCGTGGCCCTGGCCCCACTGGCCGACTTGACCACCTGGGTGGGGATACGCGCCTGCTCCTTCGGGCTTGCAGCGGGGCCCATCCCCACCCGGAGGGGGCGGGCGGGTGGGAGTGAGATGCCGTGGCCACGTGGGGATGAGGACAGGACTGGTGAGACGTAAGTCAGCGTTTTCTTATTCAGCGTTCATATTGGGCGGAAGGAGGGGGGCAGGAGGGGGGTCTGACTCCGAACCTCTGCTTAGCGCGACTGTTTGCAGCAGTGGGTCCTATGAGGGGAGACTCCACCCGCTCGAAACAGGGGCCAAAACAGCCAAGACCTACCCCATGGGGGGGAGGGGGAGGAGGGGTTTGGGGGCCCGCGCCGATCGGGCAAAACAATGAATAAAAACCATCACAAGACGATGCTGACCTTCAGGAAGTCCCAGAAGCTGATCCCCTTCAGCGCGGGCTGCTGCACCACCCACCGCTCGAAGAGCTCCCGCCCGCTGTCCCACGCCCCCGCTGCGGCCGCACGTCGGATGCCATCTCGCAGCTCGCGCTTCCCGGGGGCCATGGCCGACCCAAGAAGGCTCGAGCCAGCATTGTTGCGGAGAGAGAGGAGGGAAGAGAGAAAGGTCTAAGACGAAGCAAGGACAATCAAAATCGGACCAGGACGAATGGGGGATCTCTGAGATACGGCGGTTCTGGAGGTGTACCAGGCGCCGACCCCTTGACAGAGTGTTTCGGAACGCTCTGGAAGGATTCATCGTAGTCCTGGCCCCGCCCGAAAGTCGGTTGGTCGTTCTGCGTACTGGTTCTGGTGGCCGGAGCGGTCCTTCGGGGAGGAAAGAAGACGCCGTGCTTCTGAAGGAAAACCGTCAGCCGAACTCGCTAGCGCAGGGAATGAGATCAGATCATTTGCGGAGGGAGCCACCCCACCTCAGAGAAGGCCTGCCCCCGGATCGCCTGGCCTCAGCCCTGAACCGAGGCTTCCACCCGATAGTACTCTAAGGAACGAGGGTCAGATAGAGGCATCCTAGATGAGGTAAAAGTAGATGGGGTCGGAGGTTTGCATCGGTAACGCCGGAATGCATCGGCGCCGTCGGTGTGGAGAAAATCGGGCCCCACATCGAGCCGTATCGCCGATGCATCGGCGATGCGGCGCATCGGCGATGCGGGGCCAAGAGCGAGGGCCCCTGTTGAGCAGGGATCGACCGTCCCGGCATTCCTATAGGCCTGCCACAACATGTGCTTAGAGTCCAAAAACGTTCTAAGAACAAAAACAATGTTCTTAGAACATAAGCCCAAGACGGTCTCAGCTAGAAATGCTCTAAGAACATGTCTTGCAAAGCACTCATTGACCCTGGGCAGCATGAGCAGGAGAGGAGCACAGCGAGGGAGGAGCTAGGGCACCGGCCAGGCTAATTACTCGAGTCGAGCCGACGAGCTCGGGGGACGTCAGCTGACCAAGACACCGGCATCGACTCGGGCTGCGATTCGGATGGATGCCGCTGGACCCCCTGAGGGGGGTCATTGGACACATAATGCAATATAAAAAGGAGTGCACAACTTGGACAGGGATCAATGGCCACCGATCCGCAGTGGTCCTCCTCCTCCTCCTCATCCTCATCATACTCCTCCCCCCTCCCTCCCTCCCTCCCTCCCTCCCCTTCCCTCCCTCATCCTCATCCCTTTTCCCCCTTGTCCCTCCACCCCGACGACGATACCCTGCCCGCTGAAGCCAGCGAGAAAGCCGCGCCGCGGCGTTCCTTCTCGGCCGCCGCGTCCGCCTTGCCGGCACGGCGCTGCTGCGGCGGCGAGCCGGCCAGGGGCTCCTGGGTGCCACGACGGCCGCCGGGGAGAGTGTCGTGCTCCTAGTGCTCGTGCTCCGCTCTCCTGGGATCCCTTCTCCTTCCGCCTTCTCGTCCTCTTCTCTTCCTCGTCCGCCTCCTCCTCCTCCTCCTCCTCCTCCTCCGCCTCCTCCTCCGCCTCCTCCTCCTCCCACGCCTTCTCCTCCTCCCCCTCCCTCTCCCCCTCCCCCTCCTCCTCCTCCGCCTCCTCCTCCTTCTCCTCCAGCCCCCTCTGCTCAGGCAATACTGCACACGGGGCGGGCGAACGCCGCATGCGCGCAAGCACAATTCGCACGGCGTTGATGACCCCCATCGGACGCAAGGTATTCCGTCTACTGTACTTCCTCTGATGATGGATGCGGCCGCCGCGTGCTTCACGGACGGCGGCCGTCCACGACCTCCTGGACTTGGACTCCCTCGGACGCGTAAGCGACGTTGGCTTCGTCGTCGTACCTACATGCGGCTTGCCACGTGCGTGGCCGCGGAGCCTCGTGAACCTGTTCGGGTACCTGGCGCTGGTGCGCATGGTGTGCTTGGTCGGGTGCGCCTTCCTGATGGCGAGCTTCATCGTGAGCCTCACGGGCATCGTGGTGAACGTCTTCCTGGTGAGGGTGATCAGCATCTTGATGCACCTTGGGCGCTCTGTCGTGTGAACCTACTTGGCGGGGGAGAGCCTCGTGAGTCTGGTCGTGGGCGTCTCCCTGGCGATGGTGCGAAACATGAGTGTGGGTGGGATCACGTTCCTGATAGTGGTGAGCATCTTTGCACGCATCGTCGTGTGCATCCTCGTGAGCTTATTGAGGGAGAGCCTTGTCTTGAGCATCTTGCAAATCTGGAGTTCCGTCGTGTGGTTCATGGGCCTCGTCCAGAGCATCTTCGAGGGGATGGCGACGACCCGATTCCTGCTGACCTTCGCAAACTTCGCAGTAAGTGTCTTCCTGGTACTTCTTGGGTCTCGTTTTGGGCATCTTCGTGGTGACGGTGATCGTATTCTTGCCGATCTCCGTGCGCTTCGTCGTGCGCGCCTCCCTGACGAGGGCGCGCGCACCGTCCTGAGGGAGAGCCCTGTCGCGAACCTCATGCGCCTCGTTGTGAGCATCTTCCTGGTGGTGGTGATCTTCCTCCAGATGACGGGGAGCTTCGCGAGGCTAGACAGCATACCCCTGGAGATCGTGCGCATCATGAGCGGGGTCGGGAGCATCTTCCAGATGCTGGAGCAAACCGTCAAGCGCACCGCGTTGATAGAGAGCTACGGTACGGGCGTCTTCCTAGCGGTACTTTTCGACGTGTGCCTCTTAGGCCCCGTAGTGGACATCTTCCTGACGATGGTGGTCGTATTCGTGCGGAGCTCCGTGAGCTCTCGACGGCCGCTGGAGGTATGCGATGTGGGGATTGCGACGGCTGCCTGGAGGTTGAAACGTTCAGATGTGCGCTGGAGTGCTGGATGTGCGATCGTCGTGTCCGTCGCGCCGCCTGGTGCCAGCCGTGTCGCTGTCGCTGGGTGTGGTGCCTCCAGTGCGACCCCGAGTCCTACTGTCCTTGAGATTCCGAAGGAGACAACGACAGCTGCAGCGACTGAGGGCCGCTGAATGAGCTCACCCTGCCCGCCGCATGCCGTGCCACTCTTCGTGCTGTCCCTCTCTCCTCGTGTGGCCTCCCTTCCCCTCCCCTCGCCTGCCCTGTGCCTCCCCTGCGCTGCCCCTCTCCGTGTTGTGTTGTGGCGTCTTCCTCTCCGGCATCCGTCCGTGGTGGGATTTAGTTTTGCACCTTGCATGGGTTGAGCGCCTCACACTCGGGGCTCCCCGCCCGTGGGGGCCGTCCTCGATCTAACGCAGTTCTCCTCTGCACGGTAGGTCGCACATGGCTTAGTACTGTTCTGCGTGTTTCGCTATGTGGTCTCTCGGCACTGAGACATTCGGCCCGATACCGCTCCGCCGCCGCCGCCTTCTCCTCCTCCTCCTCCTTTTCTTCTGCCTCCTCCCACGCCTTCTCCTCCTCCCGTCCCCCTCCCCCTCCCCCTCCCCCCTCCTCCTCTTCCTCCTCCTCCTCCTCCTCCTCCTCCTCCTCCTCCTCCTCCTCATCATCATCATCATCATCATCATCATCATCATCATCATCATCATCATCATCATCATCATCATCATCATCATCATCATCATCATCATCATCATCATCATCATCATCATCCGCCCTCCTCCTCCTCCTTGTATTCCTCCTCCTCCTCATCCTCCTCTTCCTCCTCTTCCTCTTCCTCTTCCTCCTCCTCTTCCTCTTTCTCTTCCCTCCTCCTCTTCCTCCTCCCCTTTCTCCTACTCCTCCATGACGCCCAGAAGGCCTGGGGGATGGATGGGCTCTTCATGGCCGTCTCAGCTGGCATGCTCACGGTTGAAGGGATTATACAGGCGAATCCAGGCGAATCCTCCTCCTTAGCATCACCATCATCATCAGCAGCATCGTCCTCCTCCTCATTCTCCTCCTCCGCTCCTTTTCCTTACGAATAACTCATCCCTGTCGCACCCCGAGACCGGTCGAAAGGGCGGGCTGGGCGTGTCGCCTGAGACGTCCTCACCACGTAAGATCATGAAGCTTAGAATTTGCAGCAGTTCCAAGGATGAAGGGCGGGTCGCTTTCAACATGTGGTTCTTGCCTTCGCCACGCGCACATTCGTCTTAAACACTTGCAACTACTTCTCGGATGGAGGGCGGTGCCTTTTCAAACTGTGGCTCTCGCCTTAGCACCGCGCACATTCGTCTTACGAGTTTGCGACAGTTTCAACGATTCTCGCAAATACAGTGTTTTGGCACGAAGTACGAATATCAGGGCGCGACTGTAACGATGATTCGCGGCGTTGAACTCCCAGGAATGTTGTTCTGGAACGGTTCCGGATTTTCACACGATTGTTTTCCAGCGGGGCTTCTCCCTCAGTGACGATGAACCCTTGCATGGGGCCTGGAAAAGGGAACTTGGAGGGAGGATCGATTGCAATATCGTGGATACGTTTTGGGTTTGCACTGGTCTTCTTCCTCCATTTCCTCCTCCTCCTGCCCCTTCCTCCTTTTCATGTTGCCCTTCGCCCCCTCTATCCTTCTCATTATTTCCATCATAATCCTCATTTACCCCCCTTCAGTCATGCGGTGTGAGCTGTGTGGTGCACACCGGCATCGTCCCAAGCTATGTGGGGTATGGTATGTGGCACAAAAAATGTAGTGGAACCTGCGTTGGGTAAACCACTTCGTGCAAACTGGCATCTTCGCAAGATATGCGGCGCAAACAATGTCGTGCATAGTATGTGGTGGAAGCCATGTGGCTCAAGCTACGTGGTGCAAACCCACATCGTCGAACGCTATACAGTGACATATGTGTGGTGTATAGTGTACGGTGAAACCGACGTGGCGCAGGCTATGTGATGCAAAACCCACATTTTCTCGCGGCGATGCCCCAGTGGCTGGCGTTGAGAGAAAACTCGGCCCAGCGCTTGCAGGTGGGGACAGATGCCGGTTCCGCTGAGCTCTGTGACGCCTGCCCCCTCCCACGAGGTGGGCTGGTGGCGTCGGGGAACATTGGCCCATTGGGGATGGGGATCGGCCTGGCGTTAAGTCGGGCGTGTCCCTCTACAGGAAGCATATTCAAAAATAAGTGTTAAATATTGCCTATTTCTGCATAATTCTGAATATATGTTACTATGTATCGCTTTTTTCCGAAATCCGTCTGTATGAAGACATGCCCGACCTCAGCCTGGTGACGCTGGACTCTGACTCGACGGGTCCGGTGCCCCATGGCCGCACAAGGCAGGAGGACGCGGGCAGCGGGGCGGGAGACGGGAAGCCCGCCTCGCTGTCCGGGTCGTCGGCGGCCGCGCCGTGCCGCCTCGCCTGCTCCTGGACAGGAGGGGGAAACTAGAAGGGGAGGGGAGGACGAGAACGCGCAGTGTGACGACGAGGGGAAGGAGAAGGAAGAAGACGTGGAGGAGAAGGAAAGGCGAAGGAGGAAGGAGGGGGAGGAAGAAAGAGGAAGAGGGCGAGGGTAAGGAGAGGAGGAAGAGGAGGAAGTGGAGGGGGAAGAGGAGGAGGAGGAGGAGGAGGAGGAGGAGGAGTGACTCGGAGGAGGAAGGAAGACGACGTGGACTAGATGATCGCCCAAGACGCATCACCGATGTTGCAATTCAATCCCACTCCGTCTCTGGTCTCACCCCACCCCGCTCACCATCACTGCGGGGCACGGGGCGCGCCGTCGAAAGCCGAATGCCCCACACGACTGCCGTTCGGGCGGAATCACCGCGAGCTGGTTTCCATTCTTGCACAGCGATGGCCAGTCCACAAGAAACCTTTTTCACACAAAAACCAAGCGTGAGTCCCGAGGACGTCTGTGGTTTTTGTGCATGGAAACGTCTCGACTTCCATAGCAGAACCATCGGGACCCAAGAAACCCAAGTCACTCGCCAGAGGATTACGGTTCCCGGCAAGTAGGATGTGATGGTGATGTCGATAGATCGGTATCATCGCCCATGATGGGCAAGTGAGGCACGCTGCTCAAGACTCATGCACTCATGATAGGATGAGAGAGCAAAGGAGGAGGGAACAACGACGAAGCGACGACCCCAGACCTCACTTTCCCTCGCGCGCAATGCGCGCTCGATCCTTCGAGCTACGGCTGCGGAAGCGGCGGTGGCACGTGGCGCCAAGGAGCGGCAGGGAGCGAGCGGGGAGAGAAAAGCAACCACTCCCCCCGCGGCGGGACGTGCAGGCCCAACGTTTTAGCCCACCCACGGCAGGTCCACTGGTTCCTGGCACCCCCTGAGGCACACTGCCCCCCCCCTCCCAAGCGCTAACCCAAAAAAGCCTCTATAACGCCAGGGGGAGGGGTGCCAATACAGCCGCTGCATCTCCCCTGGGGGGTTGACCGAAACGGGCCGATGACACCAGCTGAGATCACTCTGAGGGATAGATGTTCAATGAAGTTGTCTGCTGCGTCGCCGCCTGAGCCGGCAACGCAGTTCGACGAAAGCCCGCTCATCCCTTCGCTGACAGGGCACGGACCAACGAAGCACAAGCGAGGGGCGGCCCAGCAAAGCAGCGGGAGCGAGGGAGTCGCGGCCGCCCGGGGGGCGGCCAAGTTTGAAGGCTATCGCCGCGACTGCAAGCACCAAAAAAAAACGGCGGCGGCGGAGCACGCGCGTCGCGATCGCGGAGACACATTGCAGTACATTTACGAAGCACGTGCAAGAACAATATGTCTTTGTTTCGCAAGGGTACCAACACAGTTTCCCGACGATGTGCAACTCTTCCCCCTGGCTTCAACCTGGCTATGTGTTCCGTCGTAACATCTATGCAAATCAGCCCGTCACCTCGGCAGATGTAGGCGCTACTGTCCAGGGCTTTTTCATGAAATGCCCCTTGCATCTCTCCTGGCCCACGCGCGCACCCGCGCAACCTACATTTGCGAAACTGGTTAGCACGAACGATCTGACGCACTTGCGCCCCCCCCCCCCCCCCCCTACTGACAAGCCGCAGGCCGCTCTAAGCACGCGATTTCCCCCTTCTGACGAAGGCGGCAGATACATCTCGGATGCCTCGAAACAGTTCGTCTGAATGCGGTTATACTTCCCCTGCGGCGTCTCCTGGGATCTCCTCTTCGATAGCATAACGACTCATTCACGCAGTACCAAGGAGATCCACCAGCACGCGCAATAGTTGCCCATGTGGATATCTGTTTGCCCTTGTATTTCCTAGTATGTCACTGGGTGTTTGTCCTTTCCCTGCGTCGGCGGACCGCGCGACTGCGCTTGCGCTGTCACAGAATTTGTTAATGCCCCAGCCCTGCTGGGTTCGCTGCAACAAGACTCATGTATAAGGCGCTCTGGAGGCGAAAACTGCTTGTCGGAGCTATCATTGAAACCACTTCTTTGGTTCGCCGCGCCAGCAGATGAGCTGCGAGCAGCAGCGTCAGCCCCCACTGCACCCGCAGCTAAGCTGCGAGCAGCAGCGCCAGCCTTCGTGGCCGCAGCCACAAGGAATAGCTAGGTTGCATATGACTGGTTTGCCTTGTCCTGGAACAGGTACGCCGGTTTGCCGCGGCACGCAGGCCCCAGCTTGCACCGCCGCCCGAGGGCCGACTGCTGGCTCGAGAACCCCCCCCCCCGGGGTTCAGGGGAAAGTCCGTCAGCGAACATCGAAGCGAAGCAATCTTGATAGGTCTTAATTCCCGAGCACTTTGGGGGGGGGCACAATGTCAGCATGATCTTTAACTTTGCTCCACGCAAGTGGGCGCGTGTCTCTTTGCACCAATATCCGCCGCCTCATTCTGGGTGCGCTCACATTGCAACTTCTTTCTGGAAAGGCGGCAGCATCAAATTCACGCGCGCGACGGATATGCACTAAGATCTGAGCCCCCCCAGTTTTGATAACTGCGCGCGCCGCCTGACTGTCCTCAAGGAACAAGCATCGCGGCGCCCGTTGCAACGGCAGTTTCCGGAAAGGCAAGATGCCTGTCGTTCTGCGCGGGGAGCCGCCTGCAGCCACGATTCCCGCTTCCAACGTACTGTGAGACACACAAGTCTGTCTTCTGGAAGCCATGCTCTTACTGGACCTCGTATAAGGTCCCCAGGTCACCTGGTGGCTGGCACTGGTGCTCCTATGAGCACGGACGTCACTTATCAGATCCTCGCGAGGTATATTGTCGAATTTGGACAGCCAACAAAACCCCAACCCATGAACTCACGCGGCCGTGAGGTGTCATGTAAATGTAACATATCAGCCAGGACAAGTCCATCTGCTGCTGTTCAGTCCATTTGGCTACACAACTCGCAGCATGGCACACAGCTCGTAACAGATCGCACCTTGCCATCCGAGCTCCGAACACAAGTTGCATCCACACTTGCGCGGCAATGGGCTGCAACGCCCTGCTCAAGGCCCAGCGGCAATGTGTCTCAGACTCCCGCGCGCAACCCGGGGATCGCGATGTCTTGATCAGGAGGGCCCGTTTTGGCCGAAACATTGAGCACGTCAGCCAAGGCCCCATCAGCGGGTGGTATCATCCCCCCTCGGGGACAGCCTTGCCCATCCTCGAAGCCAGACAACTCTGGACCGAAAAGCGTTCCCGCCGATGGGTATGTTTCAGGATCTGCGCCAATCAATCGAGCGCAATGGAGAGTGATGGGTTAAATCAATCATGCCAAAATCAATGACCTGTACTTTTTTGGCTGGACGGGGCGCGCATGGCTCAGTCGGGCGTTGAGTGCGGTTCTGAGAAACCTCGCCATCGCTATTGTCCGCACTAGGCTCATACCCCGAGTCGTCGACTGACGTCTTCTTCTGTTTTGGTGGAGGAGGGTCGAGGACTGTCGGGTTTGTAATAACAGCTCCGCCCATATATATATATATATATATATTAAAATAACAAAAAGAACTTCGATCGGATCTGATTCTCACAATGCTGCCACCGGGGGTCCTCCCGAATCGGGATGACCGCAAAGTGAACGTGTTCACTGACAACCAGTGCTCTTCATGCGCAACCAAGACCCGGCAATTCTTCTTTCGGCAACGAAATCCACACCGGGGGGCCGCCCAACATGGCCTGCAGATATGCTTGTTTGGCGTCGCTCGGTTGACTGTCACGACGCGCCAACAGTCCGCGCGCGCCAGCCACCTTGCCTGCATGCATCGCGGCAGGGCTGCAACATCTTTACTATGACCGCAATTATCGGGCCCGTCAAAAACAACCCCCTTTGAACTTACAGTATTTCTCCTTCAAGCAGTTCGGGGTTCTTTTTTGCGAAGATTGCAAAGAGTCGGCCAAAATGTGCAGCCCCACCCTCCAAACTGTTGACCACGTCGTTCTGTCCCCGAACTTGGCGTTCGCCCCAGGTTCCAATGGGTCTGAGTCGACCCCGCGAAGCCCTGAAGGCATTCTGGGCTTCTGGTTTCACGGCCCCCATCAGACTTTGTAGCCGCACTTGCCACTGCTGCATTACTCAGAAAAGACTCGGAATCGATCGGGCCCCCGACTGAGTCGGCAGCCGATCGCATCAGACAAATGCCTGATTCGCGCCCGCGAATGGGTTGTAGCAACACTGCAGATCAATCCTTTCTCTTCCTGCGCTGATCAACACAAGAGGACGACGGCTGAAATGGCACTCTGGGCAGTCCACGCCGATGCGCGGCGGCAGCCGGGGACGTGGCCGGGCGAGCCCGCGTCGGGGGACACGATTCCCAGGATCGGTTGCCATCGCAGGCTGAGCCTGCAACGTCGCGCCCGCAGAGGATCGCCCCCCCGCGCCGCGTCCGTTGCCGCTCCCATCGTCAGACTCAGCGTCGGAGCCAGATAACAGTTCAATGGTCTTGGAATGATATGGGCTGCTATATGGTAGGAGTTCTCCGACAGCGGCAAAAACGCCATTGGCATCTCGAGCGAAACCCCCATACTTTGATCCATATGTCTCGCAGAAGTGCCGAGCATGGCCCCTTGTCTTCAATCGCATAGAATTCCAACTTATCAGCTTTCTATTCTTATATTGCGCGACTCCGTTCTCCGCTGGGACCCTTGGCCACGTGGAACCATCTGCTGGGGCGCGCTCCAGGATTCGCAAAGCCATGGAATGTCTTCTGGAACTGAAAGCCAGAATGTGGATCCTCAACTCGAACACCAGCGACAGGCGCATATTTCGGGCCATAATACAGAACCGCGCGCAACACGTTCTTCGTCATCCAGTTAATGATAATGTCTGGGTCAATGTTTCTGTGGACCTTCCCAAAGCAAGTACTCTTTCCTCAAAATATTCCATATTGTGGAGATTCCGAAAGGCGCGAGCCAACAGTTGCCCTTGTTTCGGATCTCCTGGGCCCCCGACACTTGCATGACAAATGCGACTGTTTCTTCCATT